CTTTTTAGGAGGATGTTTAAATAGAGGGAGAGAGATCATTGTCCATTTTTCTCTAAGGAAAAAAAACCTCCCCAAATAATTTTATATTTGTGGAATTGTGAGTGTTAATTGAGCAGAAATCTTTCATCATCAGAGCTAACTCTGTCTGTACAGAGACAGGCTACTGACCACACTGAGAATAAAAAGTCCCTTAGAGAACTTAATGGAATGTTCTAGATATTCTCTCCAGAAAAGTACCTATTGCATTTTTAAAAAACTAAGTGACCAATGATATGTTTTGATTGATACCAAGTGGAGATGGGAAAACAGAAATAAGATGGAGAAAAATACTAGTTATGAGACAATATTCCCTTCATTAGTGCCATGCTCAGTCAGCCCGTATCTTCATATTCCAGTAAGTTATTTTGCACTCACTATTTAATATAAAAGAATAACATTAAAATTCTTGCAACCCTTGCTTGATGAGAGAATTTTAATGTTTTTTTCATTTACCATTGCAAAAACAAGGACAGTTTTATGACATTTTCATACATAGCTTTTACATGCAGTCTGTCTTTAAGTAGAGATAGATTACTCTGAAATAAGTGAATCCTAGATAGTTTTCCCTTCAAGTAAAACATTTTGTTGTTTAAATAAACTTCTTGTTTAAAAAACAAAAAAGATGTGCATGCAGTAATGGGCTGACTGACACTATCCATGCAATAGGCACAAACTAAACATATTTCGGTATTTGGGAAGGGAAATGATTTTCAACAAGATAAGTGAGTTGGCATTCTACAACAGCAGGAACATTTGGTTCTCTGAGGAGACCTTAGTGAACTCAAGTGAGAAAAAAAAGCAGTTGGGACAGTCACATGTCTTATCTCTTATTTTTCCTTTTCTAAGAGAATAATCTCTAAAATTATAATAAAGTATAGTATACCACCAAACTTGTTTCTTTCTATTGTAGTATATTCAGCATTTTGAATTTTGATACAAAAAAGTCTTAAGGTAAAAAATTTTGCTTAGGAAAAAATTTCTTGCAAACACAATTCAGGAAGGAAGGAGGCTCATGGCTTCTCTCTTTGTCTAGGTCGTTTTTTAGAGTTTTGACAGAAGAATGCTTATAATGATGATGATCCTTCCAGAAATATTCCTTTCCTACTACTTCAGAGTCTACTAGTATATTAATTTTTTGGTAACACTTTAGCCAAAAACTGTTTAGTTTAAACATTGATAATTAAACCTGTGATGTATGGTTGGTTTTTTTTTTTTTTAATTAAATATATAATTAGAATAAAATTTACCTCAGGAGTATTTTTTGAACAGTTTTTCCGTTGAAAATAAACAAAATTTCCAACTGTTGTCAATCTGCAGCCGAAATTTATTTGTTGTAATAGTTAAACAAATGTGGGAAAGGAATGTAAACTCAAAATAAATCAGGTTCCAGACACTGAAAGTTCACTTTTCTTCCTTTTTCTTTTTTCTCAACAGGTCAGTTTTGTAAAGAAACCTTTGCTCTGTTAGTGTATTTTTCTGTGTTGAGTTTTTGTAATATGAAACAAAAACTTTGGTATTCTTGAGATGGAAGTCATTTCCATTTAATATTTCAGTGCTTATTTATTTGACAGACTAGTAAAAATGACTATATTTGATCCTTAGCTTCTGTGGAATTAGCTAAAGGTATTTATGGATTTATTCTGGTTTGCTTATTAGAATCCTTTAGAAGGCATTTTAATTTTGTTTAGAATATAGGTATATCTTCAACAACTTAAATTTAGAAAAAATATATATGAGTCATAATTTCAGAAATAAGATACTAATCTAAGTAGTCATGCCACTGTATTAATAAATTAGTCATTAATTAAAAATATTTTTCTGTTAGTGATTATTATAACATTTTATTCCCAAATATAAAATAATATAGCCAGTGGCTTTATTAACTCTTTAATCTTCAGTACAACGATACCTATTGTTTATGTATTTTCTCTAAGTAGTAGCTAATACTAAAAATTAGGAAAAAAGAAGTTAGCTTTTTTACAGACCTAAGCATTATTTATTCAGATATATGATTGTCTCAATAAAACCTAATATTCTTTCATTACTACATTAAATTTTTTAAGTAGAGATCTATTTCCCCTGGGAATGTTGAGCTCTGCTGACAGTCCTGAATTTAAACGTAAATGGAACAGCCTTCTTTCTTATAATTTAGAACTTTTTAAAAAGTTTATTTATTTATTTTTGAGGGAGAGTGAGAGTGAGCAGGGGAGGGACAGAGAGAGGGAGAGAGAGAGAATCTCAAGCAGCCTCTGAACTGTCAGCACAGAGCCTGGAACTCATGAACCATCAGATCATGACCTAAGCCAAAATCATGAGTTGGATGCTTAACTGACTGAGCCACCCAGGTGCCCCTAGAATTTTATAAGGTCTGTCTTTATAATTTCCTGCTCACACTTTGTATCTAAAGAGTATTGTTTAAGATTTAAACATCTTAGGGGCACGTGGGTGGCTCAGTCGGTTGAGCCTCCAACTTCGGCTCAGGTCATTATTTCAACGGTTCATGATTTTGAGCACCGCGTTGGACTCTGTGCTGACAGCGCGTAGCCTGGAACCTGCCTCAGATTCTATGTTTCCCTCTCTCTGCCCCTCCCCCACTCAATTCTGTCTCTCTCTCAAAAATAAACATTAAAAATTTTTTTAAAAAATAAAGAAGGTGATGGCTCTGTTACACTTGAATTTGAGAGAACAGTAATAGGGAATGATATTTCAAGAAAGTTAAACTAGCTCTAGTATGATTTTTCAAAACTGTTTAGTTTCAGAGGCACCCCAGGACCACCCCCAGGTTTGATGATTCACTAGAGGACTTACAGAACTGGGTATATAGTTGTACTTATGACTAAGATTTATTATGGTACAAGAATACAAAGCAAAATCAGCAAGGGGAAAGGGTACATGGGATCAAGTCCAGAAGAAAAGACACTCAAGTTTCCAAAAGTCCTTTCTCAGTGAGGTCACACAGGATGTGTTCCTTCCTATAGCAGTGAGCTGTGACAAAACGTGCACAATGTTGTTTACTGGAAAAGCTCATTAGCAACTGAGTACGTAAGACAAACTTTTTTTTTTTTAACTTTTTTTTTGATGTTTATTTTTGAGAGAGGAAGACAGGGAGAGACAGAATGTGGGCAAGCAGGGCAGGGGCAGAGAGAGAGAGAGAGACAGAATCTGAAGCAGGCTTCAGGCTCTGAGCCATCAGCACAGACCCCAACTTAGGTCTGGAACCCATGAACCATGAGATCATGACCTGAAGTCAGATCTGAGCTGAAGTCAGACGCTCAACTGACTGAGCCACCCAGGCGCCCAAGACAAACTTTTATTGGGGCTCCTTATTTTGTCACCCTGTGCCTAGTTTATACTGTAAGTCCAGACTCTCAGAAGGAAAGCAGGTGTTCAGCATAAACCATGTTGTTTATACACTTTAGGCACAGTGAGCTACTCTTACCTTTTAGAAAAAAAGTTTTATATGATTGTAGGAAACTGTTTACCGGCCAAGTTCTCAAATGCCAGTTAGAGGCCAACCTTACAAGTGGCCTTCCTAAGACTAGGCAGTTTCAGGTCTGCTTTGTTAGTTTTCATCCCAGATTCAAGAGCGTTGGAAAAATTAGGTATTCTTTTTTTTTTTTCCTAAGTTTACTCATTTATTTTGAGAGAAAAGGAGAGAGAGAGAGAGAGAGAGAGAGAGATTGAGGAAAAGAGAGAGAGAGAGAGAAAGGGGCAGAGAGAAAGAGGGAGAGAGGATCCTAAGCAGACCTGAGCTGAAATGAAGAGTTGGATGCTCAATCGACTGAAGTCACCCACACCACCCCAGGTGCCCAGGAGCCCCTAGAATGGTGGTAGAGTGGTCGTGATTGAATTTGAAATTTCTTTTCATTGAAATAATCTCAACCGAAGCAGTATAATTAAAGGCACTTATTTCACTGGTCATTAATTAGTATCCTATCTTTATTGATCTATTCCTCCAGCTATTTGTTTCAATTATGGAAGGACTTGAGTTTCTGTGCATGGAATTATTTAAGCAACCAGTACCTTGATTTTTGTTCAGAAGTTAGTATAATGTATTCTTATTGTTGTTACAATAATTATTATTGTGATACTTCACTTGAGAGGAAGTGCTATAGTATTATATCATTCCAAAGTACATATTTTATAATTTGAGCTACTTAAAATGATTTTTTTTGAAATGACAATGTGTAATTATAAATAACAAATGACAGGGTAATAAAAAGCCATATGGTCTTCTAAGTCAAACTGGAACCAGCACAGATGAGGCCTCCTGTTAAGCAAATAAATAACTTTGAGTGAGGACAGTGGCGGTTTTGTCTTGTTTATCTGTGTTATGAACATACAACATTGTATGTTCTATTAAGCAGGGGATGTTATCTCTTGTTTACCACTCTGTGGCCAGTGCTGAGCACAATGTCTGGCATGTAATAGGTGCTTAAATGTTTATTCAATGAATGAATAAGTGAGTAAGTATGTGAGTGAAAAGAGTGACTGTTAAGATGTCAGGAAAACTTAGTTCATAAAACTCCAGAAGAATGTGAGAAGGAGGGGGAAGAGATATCTATGCCATTTCATAGAGATTATCAGGGATTCTTTACTAATTAATTGTTTTAATCCAGATGACTCTTCTGAAATGTTGAAATAAGAATAGGAAGAGAGAAATAGCTTCTTTTTTGAAGGGATTGGGTGTAACAATGTTTTAATAGCCTAATTTCTCCTGGTAGACCTTTTAAAGAGAATTTGCAAAGTAGTGAACAAATGTAATCTGACTCCTTTCCTCCTTTCCTGTTTTGTTTTGTTTGTTTCAAAGAAAGATAGTCCCTCAGTCACGGTTTTCTTTTTTAAAATATCCATTAATATTTTTATTTTCCTTAGAGATTTAATAGATTGAGAAAAGAAAGGCTCATTGCTAAGTCAGACTGCTATCACTTCACCAAAGCGTTTCCTTGTTTCCTTTCTAGCAACACCCAGGAGACTCCTCAGCAATTGGTCCCATCAGTAGCTTCAGCTCGGAGCATGCCTGAGAGACAGGAGAGCCCAGCGGCCACTAGACCAGGGGTGGCTGGTCTCACAACTGCTGCTGCCTTCAAACCTCCAGGATCCACCAACGTTATCAAATCTCCAAGCTGGCAACAGCCAAACCAAGCAGGTGGGCCAAAGAAATCCCTTGCTTTTTGTTTTTCTTAAGTGTAATTATGAAAATATCTTCTAGGACGTATGATAGAATTCACTGGCGAAACCCATTCTTGACCATCTCAGCTTTAAAAAGGACTGCATAGACTAGCTATAGCTAGTTTCCTCTGAGGTGTCTCATAAACGTTCTGTGTGTGTGTTTGATAGAGTTGCCATTTGCTACTCATAATTATAGCAATTTCTTTGTTTCCCAGATTACTCAAGAAACATGTGTGAATTGTAAACTTGGGGTCTTACTAACGAACTGTATTGATGGAAGTTTAGCCTTGGAAATACAGCATTTTAGTTTTGATGATATATACAAAATAACAACAACAGAAGCATTTATTGTCATCAACCACTGAAGAAGGAATCTTTGCCTTCTTGTCATCTGAAGATTTATGAGGCAAAATTGCAAGAAGGTTACAGTACCAAAAAGAGCACATATTTTATTTTATTTTAATTCTATTTAATTTTAATTTATTTAAGTACAGTTGACATATAACGTTATGTATTTTCAGCTGTACCACATAGTGTTTTGACAGTTCTATACATTATGCTGTACTCACCACAATAAATGTAGTTACTGTTTGTCACCATATAACATATTATTGACCATAGATACCCTGTGCTGTACTTTTTATCCCTGTGACTTATTTTATAACTGGAAATTTGTACTTGTTAGTCCCTTTCACCTATTTCACCCAGCCCCTCAGTGCCCTTACCCTCTGGCAACCACCATTTAGTTCTCTGTATTATGATTCTGTGTTTATTTATCTGTTTATTCATTTTTTTTTTTAATTCCACACATAAGTGAAATCCTATGGTATTTGTCTTTCTCTGACTTATTTACCCTCCAGGTCCATCCATGTTGTTACCAAAAGGCAGGATCTCATTCTTTTTTATGGCTGAGTTCTATTATATATATATACACACCACTTTTTTATCCGTTCATCTGTTGATGGACACCTGGGCTGCTTTCACATGTTGGTTATTATAAATAATGCTACAGTAAACAAAGGGATTGCATATATTTTTTTGAAATAATATTTCTGTTTTCTTTGGGTAAATACCCAGTAGTGGAATTACTAGATCAATGTGCTATTTCTATTTTTAGGTTTTTGAGGAATGTCCATACTCTTTTCCACGATGGTTGAACCAAATTGCATTCCCACCAGTAGTGCACAAGAGTTCGCTATTCTCCATATCCTTGCCAACACTTGTTGTGTCTTGTCTTTTTGATTTTAGCCATTCTGACAGGTGGAAGGTGATATGTCATTGTGGTTTTGATTTGCATTTGCCTGGTGATTAGTGATGTTGAGCATCTTTTCATGTGTCTCTTGGCATCCGTATGTCTTCTTGGAAAAATTTTTATTGAAGTCCTCTGCCCATTTTTTATCGGATTATTTGTTTTTTGGTGTTGACTTGTTTAAATTCTTTATATATCTTAGATATTAACACCTTATTAGATAGATCATTTGCAAATATCCTCTCCCATTCAGTAGGTTGCCTTTTCATTTTATTAATGATTTCCTTCCTTGATTTTGGTATAGTCCCAATAGTTTATTTTGGCTTTTGTTTTCCTTGCCAGAGAAGATGTAACTAGAAAAATGTTGTGAAGCCTGATGTCAAAGAGATTACTGCCTGTGTTTTTTAAGGAGTTTTAGGGTTTCAGGTCTCACAGATCTTTTTCTTTTTTTTTAATTTTTTTTAACATTTTTTTTATTTTTTGAGAGACAGAGCATGAGCAGGGGGAGGGGCAGAGAGAGAGAGGGAAACAGAATCTGAAGCAGACTCCAGGCTCTAAGCTGTCAGCACAGAGTCTGACATGGAGCTCAAATCCATGAACCGTGAAATCATGACCTGAGCTGAGCTGAAGTCACCCAGGTGCCCCACAGGTCTCACAGATCTTTAATCTGTTTTGAGTTATTTTTCTGTATGGTATAAGAAAGTGGTCCCCTTTCATTCTTTTGCATTTAATTGTCCAGTTTTCCCAGGAATATTTATTGAAGAGATTAAACTATCTTTCCCCCTATTGTGTGTTCTTGACTCCTTTGTTGTAGATTAATTGATCATATAAGCATGGGTTTCATTCTGGGATCTGTATCTATTATTCCATTGATCTGTGTGTCTGTGTTTTTGCCAGCCAGTACCATACTGTTTTGACTACTATAGCTTTGTAGTATACTTTAAAATCTGGGGCTATGGGGCATGTGGATGGCTCAATCAGTTAAGCCATTGACTCTTGATTTCAGCTCAGGTCATGATCTCATGGTTCATGGGATCGAGCCCCACATTGGTCTCTGCACTGACAGTTCAGAGCCTGCTTGGGATTCTCTCTTTCCCTCTCTCTTTGCCCCTCCCCTGCTCTGAAAAATAAATAAATAAACTTAAAAAAAATTGGGACTGTGATACCTACAGCTTTGCTCCTTTTTCTCAACATTGCTTTGTCTATTCAGGGTCTTCTCTTTTTCTATACAAATTTTAGAATTGTTTGGTCTAGTTTTGTGAAAAATACTATTTGGATTTTGATAGGGATTGTATTGAATCTGTAGATTGTTTGAGTAGTATGGATATTTTTAACAATAGTAACTCTCCCAGGTCATGAATATAGAATACCTTCCCATTTGTTTGTATAATCTTCAGTTTCTTTCATCAGCGTTTATAGTTTTCAGAGTTCACAGTTCTTTTACCTTCTTGGTTAAGTTTATTTCTAGGTATTTTATTATTTTTGGTGCAGTTGCAAATGGGATTATTTTCTTTATTTCTCTTTCTGGTAGTTCATTAGTGTATAGAAATGCAACAGATTTTTGTGCATTAATTTTGTATCCTGCAACTTTACTAAATTTTTTTTATTAGTTCTAAGAGTTATTTGGTGGAGTTTTTAGGCTTTTCTATACATATTATCATGTCATCTGCAAATAGTGACAGTTTTACTTCCTCCTTCCCAGTTTGGATGCCTTTTATCTCTTTTTCTTGTCTGATTGCTGTGACTAGGACTATGATATGTACTATGTAGAATCAAAATGGGGAGAGTGGACATTCTTGTTTTGTTCTTGATCTTCGAAGAAAAGCTGTTAGCTTTTCACCATTGAATATGATGTTAGCATTGGGTTTGTCATAAACAGCCTTTATTATGTGAAGGTATATTCCCTATAATTCTACTTTGTGGAGAGTTTTTATCATGAACAGATGTTGAACTTTGTCAAATACTTTTTTCTGCATCTAATGAGATGATCATATGGTTTTTATCCCTCATTTTATTATAGAGAGAGAGCATTCGAATAATAAGAGGGAACAACCTGGGCTTTATCTGGAAACCTGAATTTTCAATCACTTCTACCAATAGCTTTAAGTAAAGTCACTTAACTTCTTTGACCCTCTGTTTTCTGATCTGTAAAATCAAGGCAGACTAAATAATCCCCTGTTTCTCCTAAAATGAATAAAAGTGATAGTTACAGGACTAAAGGACTCCTCTTAACAAGAAGATGGGATCATATACTTAAGTGCCTCTAGTTCCAAACCCTCAGCCTTCATCTCTTCTCACTCTTTACACTCCCTGGATGATCTGTCATCCAGATTCCTTTTACAACCTAGCCACTGATAATTTAGGGTCCTCTCAGTCCTGAACTCCATATCCTCAAATTTGTTGACCTACTTGCTGTTTCCATGTGGCACCTTAAATGCAGCATGTCCAGAAATATTATTACCTAACCCTGGGAATGGTACATCCACTAGTCACCAAAGCTCCAGTGTAATCTTGAGACCTCCCATCTCTTACCCCCACGTTTTCACAGTAACTAACACCTAATGATTTTACGTCTTAGTATTTCTCAAGTTTCTTCTCTCCTCTCTGTGGTGAGAGCCATTGCCTTGGTCCGAGCTTTTGTCATTGCAAACAGCTTGTAAGTAGTTTCCCTGTCTTCTTCTCACACCATCAGTCTGTCCTCCATACTGCAGCAGATACCTTTGTAGAACTCTGATTTGCCCATGTTCCTCTCCTGTTGCAGATGCTTTACTGTGTTTCTCCATCCCTTAACTTACCACGGAAGTCCACTTTCACTTTGGCTCCTGCTAACTTCTCAGTGTCGTCTCCCACTGCTTCCAATTTGTAATCTGTGCCATAGCCTTACTAAAGCATCTCAAGTTACTGACACATGCCATGCTACCTTGCCTTAGAATGCTCTAGTCCTTCTTTAGAGAATGTGCTTTTTACTTAGACTACTACTGAATTCTAGCCTTTCCTCATCAGTGTTGGGAAAAGTATTGATTGAATATATAGAAGGGTCTGCTTTTAAATATATATATGTATATTTTAAGAATTGCTTTAATGATTGATCATTTATTATTATTTAAGACTCATTTTACAGTTGTAAGAGTGATTTTTTAGTTAATTTAGGAATTCTATCTTTTGATTTGTAATTTTCCAGTGTTTAAACATATCAGACACTAACTTTGTTTATTATTAATAAATTATCTTTAGATAAATACTAATTATTTATATTAAAATTTATTTCATAGTGTCATTTTGAATGGTTTTGAATTATTATGTGTTACTAATTTTGCAAGGATAAGCTAAAATTTTTTGTCGGGGGGAAACAACAAATAGGCCATTGCTTATGGTCTGGACTATTTTAAAGAAATGACTGTCGTCTTACTTTCAAAAACTTAAAATATTCAGGGGCACCTGGGTGGCTCAGTCGGTTAAGCGTCCGACTTCAGCTCAGGTCACGATCTCGCGGTCCGTGAGTTCAAGCCCGCGTCGGGCTCTGGGCTGATGGCTCAGAGCCTGGAGCCTGCTTCTGGTTCTGTGTCTCCCTCTCTCTCTGCCCCTCCCCCATTCATGCTCTGTCTCTCTCTGTCTCAAAAATAAATAAACGTTAAAAAAAAAAACATTTAAAAAAAAAAAACAAAAATAAAAAACTTAAAATATTCAGTCTGATATCATTAGCTTCTGAAATTTCTAGAACTGTTAAT